GAAATACAGTACGTTCAGTTCACATTCGCCCAAAATATGAACGCGTTCATGTACATTACTGCCTACGGATGTGTTCGTTAATATTAGCTGTGTGGTCCGGAGTGACTGTGGCACAGACTGGACCGCTGGAGAACAGCTGTTAGAACGGGGTGTTCAGAGCAGAGCTCCCTGTTGGAGCGGCAGAGCTTGAAGCGAACTGAAAATGTTTCTGGCTAACGTTAGCTTAGGTACTCAGATCTTGTTCTTGAGTAAACGTAGAAGTACCAGAGTGTAGGAATACTATGTTACAGTAAAAGTACTGCATTCAAAATGTTACTCAAGTAAAAGTATAAAAGTATTGTCATTAAAATATAGTGAAAATAGCGACAGTAAAAGTAGTCACTGTGCAGATTGGTTTATTTCAGAATAATATATATGATATGTTTTATAATGATTGATCATGAAAGTGTTCTCAAAGCTGGTAAAGGTGCAGCTAGTTTGAATGACTTTGTATTCTGCAGGGTAGCTGGTGGATTTACTCCAGGTGGAACTAAAATCTGATTCAACACTTGATTAGATTTCACATCATTCATCCACATCTGTGAAGTAACTAAAGGTATTAAATACATGTAGTGGAGGAAAGTACACCATGTACCACTGAACTGTAGTGGAGTAGAAAAATAAAGCAGCAAAACATTTTACATACTCAAATAAAGTACCAGTATCTCAAAATTGTGCCCAAGTATAGGACTTGTGGAGTTTATGAACTTAGTTACTTTACACCAGTGGCTATACAGATAGAAAGACTAAGCCTTGCACAGAGGCAAGAAAAGACATTTTCAAAATGCTCAAAAGTTCTGCCAAAAAAAATAAAAATAAAACTGACTGCTGAAATTAGATCTTCCTTTGTGCTCAAGCTCATAAAACCCCCAAGGCACAGTGCTGTGGTCTGCTTCAAATGATCTTCTCCTTCCAGAGGTCACGCCTGTCTCTGACCTTGTGTCTTGCGTTTTATTTTATTTTCTTCTTCTGCAGCACCAAGCAGAGTAGAGAAAATTAGGGGATTTTGACTAGAAATAATTTCAAACAGTTAAATAAAGAATGTTGAACTATATTTAAAACTGTAATTGAACTTCAACTCATATCCATTATCTGATTCCAGTGGCCAGTTGGAAACAGATAATGACAAAGTTTTCATTTTGCATCAATCGTGCAAAAAGGTTCAATCACCATTGTGTCTAAGTCTTGTCTTATCTGCTTTGTTTCGGAATGTGTTCAATACATTAGGTTATTTTATTTTCATTATTACCATACAATACATAGATTAAGAATAAATGAAACAAATAATACAACATTGACCTATTTGAGCAGACAGATGACCCGCAGTGATGCCTCTGAGGTTCCCGGGTGTAAAACAGAGGCTTTTTTGCTATTTATTTTCCTTTTGCGGAAATTTAGATTCATTTTACCTTGGCTGTGGACTGATTCATTTATTAGTTGTTACAAAAACATGCACAAGACGGCGGGTATACAAACAAACACGAAACAATTATACAAACAAACATGAACCCGCAACAAACATCAGGTGACAGCTAAACTCATCCAGTTTAATTTTAATCCGAATTAGGGAAACTTCAGCGGGGGCACTGAAATATCAGTACTTATTTTTACTTATTGTTTTTTTTTTTTAATTTTTTTTTTTTTTTTAAACAAAATCCAATTCAATAATCCGTAAATTTATTAAACACAGTGTGAATGTAATATTCTGCCACCACCCTTCCCATTTAATAGCTCAATTTAGTTCTTGAGCTTATGGTGTGATTAACAGAAAATACAAGTCTGTATTGTTAAACATTAATTCAGTTGATGAGCAATAAACGACCTTATTCTCAATCAAAACCACTATGCAAATGTAGTGGTAAAACTGCTCAACCGACCGAGAGCAGAGATATTAATTAATTTAATTAATTCTAAGAACGGAATCTGCTGAAGAGTAATAACCACATTATTCTCAATCAACAACCACTATGCTAATTTAGTGGTGCTCTGCCCTCCCCGATCCGGAGAGGCAGAGACTTTTAATGAATTCAGTACCCTTTATTTTAACAACAGCCAAATTCAACAACCCCTCAGTTTATGAAACACAGCGTGACGTAATATTTAGTAACATCCTAATAAGAGTTATGTTTATTTCCAAAACTCATAATGGTGCGATTTAAGTAGAATACGACACTGTGCTTTGTTTCGTGTGCTGCCCCCCACGGGGGGGGGGGGGGGGAGGGGAATTACCCACACCCTCTTCCTGCAGCAGCAACAGGAACATTTCGAGGCGAGTTGATTTAACTGGTTAAACCGTTGAAATCTCCAGAATTCGGCGATTCGTTTCAGTACAAATCTTTACATTGCTTTTAAACCGAAGTTCCACATTACTGATGCCCTCTTTAAGGTCTCTCCGAATATTTGCCGTGCACACACACAGAGGAAACCAAAAATATTGCATCTATCTGTTCCACAGGTAATTTTATACCGTCAATCACAGAGTCTGGCGAGGCAATGTCAAAATATAGATTTGAAATTACACTCACCAGCTCGACGATTTGTTGGTAACCGTTCGCGACGCCAATTGTGAAGTTAAAACTTCTTTGCAGCAATGTTGAGCCAATCATGAAATGAGTGAAACTGGATTCGCCTGTCAATACACTGATATTTATTGAGAGCCTCAGCGGCCGGAGAGTTCACAGCATATCACAGTTCTCCTGTAAGATACCAGCAAACTCTGAACTCTAAAAGCGCCAAGCACCCAACTATACAGACAAGAAGAGGAGGGCCCTAAAACACGCGGGTTTTCCTTTAATGCATGCCAGATGTCGAGACAAAGACTCGTTGCATTGTAAACCCACATGGGCCAAGCTTCTCCCCCACAAGACATCAGATGACCTCTTGACCTGTGTCTTCCTGAGAAGCTATGGATCACATTACAGGCAGGAATACACTTTAACCATTAAACAGATTCCCGAGGACAAATCACTAAACTCTATATACTTTAACAAGACCAAAATATTCCTTTACAATGTCCAGTTACACCTGTCTTCTGAGGCTTCCTCAACACATTCATCAAATTCAACAGCTGGAGGATCATATTGTACATTTCTCCACCTGTATTCTTTCCTTTGCTCGTGCTGACTGCTTTGTTGTTGTTGTTGTTGTTGGGCCCTCTACTTCTGTCCTCAACTCTGTGCTCATCTGGTCAACACTTTCCTCCTCCTCACTATCACTATCGGAGCTTCCCTCAGTAAGCGTTGCGTTAGGAGTCCAGTCCTCATCTTCTCCTAACTGCTCCATGTCACTTGAACTCCCATCCATAATCATGCTGATGGCATCAGCAACAGAGTATTTCTTTGCCATCTAAAAGTAAATGCAAACACAAATTAGGACTCTCTTTTTAACCGCTAGAGCCAATGGAATCAAGGGGAAGGTCCACATAAACACACGTTACCAAATAAGGAGTGAGAGTAGCCAAAACCGGAAGCTGCACAAAAAGTGACAGACACATTGGATTAACCTATGGATTCACTTTCAGCCGCGTTTTAATCGACTTTTGATCAGAATAAATCAAATCAAGTTTTATTTTTATAGCACATTTATAAACGATTTTTGGTCGAGCCAAAGTTCTGTACATATAATAAAAATAGCCTACAGTAGAGACACTTTACAGCAAATACAACAGCACAGATTGTTCAGAGTATCAGTATGAGAAAAACGACACCCTCTGTCCTTAGACCCTCTGTCCTCAGACCCTCTGTCCTCAGACCCTCACATCGTACAAGGAAACACTTCCAGAGAAAACCCACAGTTTAAGGGAACATGGGAGAAACCTCAGGGAGAGCAACAGAGGAGGGATCCCTCTCCCAGGACGGACAGACGTGCAATAGATGCCGTGTGTAAATCGAAGAGATAATACATTTTACAGCATATAGACCGAATGTTAGGAAAGTCATGTGTCTGTAATAAGAAGATGAATCCACGAGGATGTCAGCTACAATCCTGAGGAAGCCATCAGGGAAGCAGCATGACGAGACCCAAGGCAGGACCGCAGAGACAGGTTCAGCCACGACCCGAAGTCCACGACTTAATCCAGAACTCAGGATAGAGGATCCAGGACACAGGACTACAGCAAGAGGATCAGCCTCGTCTCCGGATCCCGGCGTAGATATAGATACAAAACAAGAACAAAGATTTGGCTGGGTTAATCGGAACAAGAGAATACACAGATACAGACAGAGAGGGGAAAGGTCATTGGATAAAAGTTATTCTTGATAACCCTCTAGAAAGATCTCATGACATAAGATACAATAACAGCTAAGGTGAGACGATGTTCCGTTTTTGCTCCGTAATGCTACGTGTTGTGATGTCCCCGATTGAGGGGGCTCTCGGCTTAACAGGTTAATTAAATAATCTAAACAGTGTTTTTGGCATTCTGGTAAGCATAATGCAGATTGCATCATGAAATGTACTACAACGACACATATTTTCCAATGTCACATATTTTCCGGAGAAATGTACTCAAAAACCTGCTGTATACTATTTGATACATAGGCTACATTTTCAACACGATTTCTCTATGAAATAAGCTACAAAATATAAACTGATTATAAGTTGCTTCAATACAGTAAATATTCATAGTGAAATATCAGTAACAATATAAAAGTCATTCTTACCGTAATTTATTCAATATGGGCAAAGATGACGCTTCCAAAAGTTACATGACGGTAGCCATTTTGGATTTGGTCATTAAAAGCGCTCTGCAGCCGGCAGTGCCCAGATGATGCACCAGAGGGCAGAAGACATGTATCACATTGCATACAACAGGTCTTTTAGGAACGTACTAGTCATTTGGATGACGTAGAGGTCTCAGAAACTCATGTATCAAATATGATACACTTGGCGTTAGGGTTTCTAAGCTAGGCTGACTTGCTTCAAAGCATAGCAAAATTACCAGTCAAAAAAAAACCACACATCAGTTTTTATATCCATATAACATTTTCTTTATTCACTTATTAAAAACAAAAACAAAACCTCATTGTTTTTAAATGCAGAGATGAGTGTTTGCTTCCTGTCATGATGCATGTTGAGAAAAATACCTACAGCCTGTGATTGCAATAAAGAAGCTCCATTGGCGGACATTTTCTCGGCCCTGAAACCATTCGTTTAACGTCACCGATTCAAAGTGAAAGCTTATTTAACGCAGGGTGACGCTTCAGTAGGGTGTAAACATGGAGGTATACAAAATACTTTATAAATACAAGGTAGAGAAAACAAGAAAAATATAAATACGTCTTGTTTTCCTGTGTGTGTGTGTGTGTGTGTGTGTGTGTCTGCAGAGAGGGTGCGGAAAAACAAAGAGGTCGAACGATGATGCTTCCTTTCGCGCCGTGATAAAACAGTCTAGACAAACAAGTATGAGGAGGATAAGAAGCGACACATTTAAAATCCTTATGTGACAGAGGAGGAGGAGGAGGAGGAAGATAGGTTACACGAGGACAGAAGAAGAAGTAGAGGAAACAGGAAGTCACAGCCCTGTGTCGTTATAAGTGGGCGTGGCCACCTTCAGGATGCTCTGAGCGTTTTCCTCCAGCAGGGGGCGCCACTTCACCTCCCCCGACAGCATCAGGTCCTCCCCGTCCAGAGCGTCGATGAACTGCATCTGCACACATTATAATAATAAAGATTTACTTATACAACACTTTTCATATTTCAGGTGCAGCTCAAAGTGCTTTACAACACATCACAAGTTCAAAATACACAACACGAAACGCACAGGACATTATATTTGTAGGAGCCAAAATGCTTGTTTTGATATTGCTTATTAATATTATAATCTTTATTTCAGTTTACACCTCGTTTAATTCTCATTTGTTATCACTTCCGGCAATTGTCACGTGGGTGTGGTTTATTGGTCATTAGGTCACCTGTTGGATGACGTAGAGGAGAGGGTGAATTGCTCACATACTTTCTGTTGAATATTGTTTCTTTATTAAACACCATGAACTCTATCTGACTACGGACTCTTGTATGGACGAGTCACAGCGAAGAACATCTTTTAGCCTCTCAGCGTTACAACTCAAAGGGAGTTTTTGCTGCTACACTGAACACAAATATAAACGCAACACTTTTGTTTTTGCTCCCATTTCTCATGAGATGAACTCAAAGATCGAAAACATTTTCTAGATACACAAAATAACCATTTCTCTCAAATATTGTTCACCAATCTGAAAACATCTGTGATAGTGAGCACTTCTCCTTTGCCGAGATAATCCATCCCACCTCACAGGTGTGGCATATCAAGATGCTGATTAGACAGCATGATTATTGCACAGGTGTGCCTTAGGCTGGCCACAATAAAAGGCCACGCTGAAACGTGCAGTTGTGCTTTATTGGGGGGGGTCTGGGGGGGGTCCGAAAACCAGTCAGTATCTGGTGTGAGGGGAAGGGGTAGGGTTAGGGTAATGTTGTGAATCGAGTGGCCCATGGTGGTGGTCGGGTTATGTTATGGACGACGAACACAGGCCACTCGATTCACAACATTACCCTACCCCTACCCCTCACACCAGATACTGACTGGTTTTCGGACCCCCCCCGTGTAAAAATACACAAGAAATTCCCCTCAGACCAGGGGCCTCATTTATAAAGGGATATACGCTCAAAAGATGGCGTACGCCAGTTTCTACGCAATGTTTGCGATTTATAAAATACTAACTTGACGGGAAAATGTGCGGTCCTCCACGCAAACTCTAACCCATGCGTACGCACTAAGCACAGCAACATTACATTACATTGCATTTAGCTGACGCTTTTATCCAAAGCGACTTACAATAAGTACATTCGACCAGGAAGACACAACCTTGAAGAAAACAGAATCATATAAGTATATCAGGTTTCATAGAGCCAAACATTTCAAGTGCTACTCAACTGGCTTTAGGTAAGCCAGTCCTTTATTAGTATATAAGTGCTTTGTTAATAGTTCTAACGCTCGAAGTGGAGTCGAAAGAGATGAGTTTTCAGTTTGCGCCGGAAGATGTGCAAGCTATCTGCCGTCCTGATGTCAATGGGGAGCTCATTCCACCATCTTGGAGCCAGGACAGCAAACCCACGTGTTTTCGCCGATGGGAACTTGGGTCCCCCTCGCAGCGAGGGCGCAACGAGTCGTTTGGTTGATGCAGAGCGGAGTGCACACGCTGGGGTGTACGGTTTAACCATGTCCTGGATGTAGGAAGGGCCAGATCCATTCGCAGCACGGTAAGCAAGTACCAGTGTCTTGAAGTGGATTCTAGCAGTTACCGGAAGCCAGTGAAGGGAGCGGAGGAGCGGAGTGGTGTGGGAGAATTTAGGAAGGTTGAAAACCAGACGAGCCGCTGCATTCTGGATGAGCTGCAGAGGTCGGATGGCACATGCAGGTAGACCAGCCAGGAGGGAGTTGCAGTAGTCTAGGCGTGAGATGACGAGAGCCTGGACCAGAACCTGAGTCGCTTTCTGAGTCAGCTGGGGACGTATCTTCCTGATGTTGTAAAGCGTGTATCTGCAGCAACGGGTTGTAGCAGCGATGTTTGCAGTGAAGGACAGGTTGTTATCTAGGGTCACACCCAGATTCCTTGCAGTCTGAGTCGGGGAAACAACTGAGGTGCCGATGTTGATTGTCAGGTCAAGAGTTGGACAATCTTTTCCCGGGAGGAAGAGCAGCTCAGTCTTGTCAAGGTTGAGCTTGAGGTGATGAGCAGACATCCACTGAGAGATGTCAGCTAGACAAGCAGAGATGCGTGCAATGACCTGGCTCTCTGAGCGGGGAAAGGACAGAATTAATTGGGTGTCGTCAGCGTAGCAGTGGTAAGAAAAACCATGCGGGCTAATGACTGATCCGAGCGAGTTTGTGTACAAGGAGAAGAGGAGGGGACCAAGAACAGAGCCCTGAGGGACCCCCGTAGTTAATTGACAAGGGTCGGACTCAGACCCTCTCCAAGTCACCCTGTAGGTGCGGTCTTTGAGGTATGAGGTGAGGAGGGAAAGTGCAGAGCCTGAAACTCCAAGTTTTTGGAGAGTGCGAAGGAGGATCTGATGATTCACCGTGTCGAATGCAGCAGACAGGTCCAACAGGATGATGACAGAGGAGAGGGATGCAGTTTTGGCAGTGTGCAGTTCCTCCGTGACAGCAATGAGAGCAGTTTCTGTGGAGTGACCTGCCTTGAAACCAGACTGGTGCGGATCCAGAAGGTTGTTCTGATTGAGATAACAGGAGAGTTGTTTAAAGACAGCGCGTTCAAGTGATTTAGACAGGAACGGGAGGAGAGAGACAGGCCTGTAGTTTATAACATCAGACGGGTTGAGAGTGGGTTTCTTTAGGAGAGGGTTTACTCTTGCCTCCTTGAGACTGTTTGGAAAGTGACCAGAAGTTAGAGAAGTGTTGATGAAATGGGTGAGAAATGGTAGAATATCAGGAGCGATAGTCTGAAGGAGGTTTGAAGGGATAGGGTCCAGAGGACAGGTGGTAGGGCGGGCAGAGGTAATGAGGGTAAGAACCTCACTTGGAGAGAGAGGGGAAAAGGAGGTTAGTGTGTTGGTGGAAGGAAGGTCTGGTGACCCAGCGGTGAGTAGAGGTGAGTCAGAAAAAGAAGAGCGAATATCATTAACCTTTTTTTCAAAGTGGGTAACAAAGTCGCTTGACAGAAGTGAGGAGGGGGGAGGAGCTTTTGGAGGGTCCAAGAGGGTGGAGAAGATGGAAAATAGTTTTTTAGGATTGGAATAGGAAGATTGGATCTTATCTTGAAAGAAAGTGCTTTTTGCCTGAGAGATCGAAGCAGAGAAAGAGGAGAGGAGAGCTTGATAGGTTAGGAGGTCGTCACGGTGTTTGGATTTCCACCGTTTCCGCTCTGTTGCCCTAAGGACGGTTCTATTAGCACGCAGTGCATCATTTAGCCAGGGAGCAGGAGGGGACTGACGAGCCTGCCGAGATGTCAGAGGACAGAGCGAGTCCAGAGAGGATGAGAGAGTAGAGAGGAGAGTTTCTGCAGCAGAGTTTGGAGGCAGTAGTTGGAACGAATCAGAGGAAGGGAGGGCTGAGAGCACCGACGAGGCAAAGGTAGAGGGAGAGAGGGAGCGAAGGTTACGGCGGACAAGTGTAGGATGGGAAGAGATTAGTTTGTTATGTTTGGAAAGGGATAGAGAGAATGAAATGAAGAAGTGATCGGATGTGTGGAGCGGGTTTACAGAGAGGTTAGAAGTAGCGCAGTTCCTTGAGAATATGAGATCAAGGACATTGCCAGCTTTATGAGTCGGTGGGGAAGGAGACAGTGAGAAAGCAAAGGCGGTTAACAGAGATGTTAGTTTGTCTATCTTCCCCATTTGGAGGTTGAAGTCTCCGAGAAGTACAGCAGGAGGGCCAGTTTCAGGGATGTGTGAGAGGAGATGATCTAATTCCTCCAAGAAGTCCCCCAAGGCGCCTGGTGGACGGTAGAGAACAACAATGGTTAACTGTATAGGATGGGTTACTGTGACGGCATGGAATTCAAAGGTGGAAGGAGTGAAGTTAGGTAGCTTGAAGAGGGAAGAGCTCCATTTGGGAGAGAGCAGGAGACCAGTGCCACCTCCTCTGCCAGTGGGTCTGGGTGTATGGGAGAAGGAATATGCTGTGGAGAGAGCTGCTGGGGTGGATGTGTTGGATGGAGTAATCCAGGTCTCAGTGAGAGCAAGGAAATCCAGAGACTGCAGGGAGGCGTAGCCAGAGATGAAGTCAGCCTTAGGAACAGCTGACTGGCAGTTCCACAGGCCACCTGAAACTAGATGTTGGATCTCAGTGGAGCACGTGGGATAGACGAGAGCAGGCCGGTCATATCGATTACGAGATACACGGGGCCAGTGATAATTGCGAGAAGACGAGAAACTGCAACACCGTTGGCAGAAGGAAGAATGGAGAGAGATATGTGGAAATAATACCATAAATAAAATGTTACCTCTCATTTATCAGATATGAAGAATTCATTTTCAAACATTGATTAAAGCCAATCTCAAAATGATGAAACAAACGCCTGTGTGAGACTCCTCAGTGCACACAAACACATAACTTGGAGAAATAAATAAATACGGATGTTATTGAAAACCACCTCGAATATGTTGTGTTAATGTTATGAAATGTTTTCTCATAAATGATGCGGTGAGCAGGAGGACAGAATTACGTCTAAACTGACGCCGTGTTACATTTCTATAGGTTGTAGATACGAGCATGGTTTTATATACTATCACGTTTAATCGTGTTTTATGCCGTTTGCCAAGACTTGATAAGTCGCTCGTAAAACACAGGAGGTCTGGAAACTAAGAACACCATATGTGGTAAATTGTACAGCTGATATAACACAACACATTAGTTGTATTTCCTTTAACTGGTGGATATAGAGTTGCTGCGGGGGGGGGGGGGGGGGGGGGGGGGGGGGGGGGTTGAGACGCACAGGCTGCAGTGGAGATGCTGCGCACAGCTGATCGACAGCTGGGACACAAACCACCAAATACAAAAACATAATTCAGATCCAGTCTCATGACTCCACTCCGGAGGGATTCCTCGATCACTTCTTACAGTCTCTCATCAAGGGGGGGGGGGGGGTCTCCTGTCCCCGGTACAAACACACTGCCTGAGGAAGGCTATGTGTATTTATTTTGTCATTAACCTTTTTCGGACCACTTATTTATTTATTTTGGTGACGATCCGACCTCCATGCTGCTACTCTGGTTAATCCACCAAACAATATGATTTATCTCCACCTCCCCAAAATAACCTAAATCTGACACGGTGTGAGATGTCTTTTTTAGCTGTTCTGTCGTCATTTCCTGCGATCTTCTTCATAGTCAGTCAGAATGAATTAATTAATTAATGAATGGGCGTTTCTTTGACTATCTATAGGCAAATATGGGTGTTACGTGAAGCCCGCAAAAGCTGCGCCGCATTTCGAGTCGGTTGTGATTTATAAAGGGAAACCGGCGTAGGAAGTGCTGTACGCACTTTCTTCGCCGGTGCGCAATGTTTGGTGAATCGGAAAATGTCGGAACATTTCTGTACCTATTTTTTGGATTTCTACTACGTAAGCAACCTTCCCACGTGAACCCTACGCACGGCGTTATAAATGAGGCCCCAGACCTTTACTATGGACATTCCCGAAATCTGATTCAGGGGCCGATTGGTCAAGGATGAACAATTGCATTTTCCTTAAGCCACGCCCTACTATCGGTTAAGCCCCACCTCCTTGTTTTCTTTGGGAAGTGGATTAAGTCTCTCTCCCAATATAAGTCAATGGTACAAGTGTTTTTGGTCAAAAAAATTACATATCGGAAGTTGTAGTACCAACGTTTGGCCACTAAGGACATACAAGAAATCTGCTTATGGGGCCTATTGGTCACGGATGCAGACTTGTATTTTCATAAGCCCCCCCTTGTAGTGGTTAAGCCACACCTCCTTGTTTTAAGCCCCACCCCACCAGCAAGTCACAGCTCATTCAAGTGATTAGAGGGGCGAAAAAATAAGTATTTTAATGAATTAAATAACCGCTTTTTGTAGTGTTTGTAATGGGAAGTTGATTAAGCTTTAAAAAAAGGTCTGCTGATTTACTGATGTCTATTTCTTGATGGAAGTGAATGGGAAACATTATTTTGGGCCCAGTGACGTTACGGACTGACACGGAAGTTGTAGTACCGCAGTTTGGCCACTACGAATATTTGCAACATGTTGATGCGTAGTTGGGCAAGAAACTTAAGCCCCGGTTATTCCAGATGACATACGGTGTGTGTGTGTGTGTGTGTGTGTGTGTGTGTGTGTGTGTGTGTGTGTGTGTGTGTGTGTGTGAACGTTCCTGGAAAAGGTTTTACCCTGCATGGCAGCCTCAACATATTTAAATACAGTCTTCTTCACATTTAGCTGAGAAGTGTGCACATCATGTAAAGAAACTGTGTTTTCCTTCTACTCAGTGAATTACCATGACCAGAAGTGTGTGTGAGTATGTGTGTGTGTGTGTGTGTGTGTGTGTGTGTGTGTGTGTGTTACATTAAAGAACACACGCACACACTTCCACATTCAGGGAAGTGTGTCATTTGTTTGTTTTCTGACGCAACACTCTAAACTCACACGCACACAGTTTGTTGGCTGATTGAGTCGGACACTTTAACACAGGTGTGTGTGTGTGTGTGTGTGTGTGTGTGTGTGTGTGTGTGTGTGTGTGTGTGTGTGCGTTGCCTCTAAGCTAATGAAAGATGACATTTCTAAAAAAAAAATAAAGGTTTTTCTAATACTTTTATTAAACAGCTCTATATTTGCTCCTATTTTACAACCGCATTCCTCTGTCTGTGTTTATGTATGAACCGGGGCTGCACAATTAATCAAAATATAATAATCGCATTTGTGGAATATGCAAATCGCAGGAGATTAAACATGTGTAAATAGGAATCTGAAGGAAGTCCAGCGTTTCTGTTATTTGGTATTAAGTGCACTTTACAGCAGACCATTTACATGCACTAACCCCACACCCCCAGGAGAGGGAACGCCACTAAAAAGCAGAATAGGGCCTCTTTAGAAACACAGTATTTCCTTCTGAAACGACTTGGCGTGGAGGTAAATATAAACATCAAATGGACACCGTCCAGGCATCTGATTGGTTCTGAGCAGCTGCACTCACCTGTTTGCGCACGTACTCCACCATGAGCTCCAGCTGTTTGGGGTCTTCACACTCTCTACTGAACAGATTCCTCCACAGGGCTGCAGCCAGCACGCAGTCATCAGACAGCACGCCCTACACACACACACACACACACACACACACACACACACTTATTACAACAGATTCACTGATATCAAGGTTAAAACAATTCTTTCTCTCTCTCTCTCCCTCTCCCTCTCTCCCCCCTGTTGATGATTTACGATCGTTTGCCGACCCCTGGTGTAGGGTATAAGGGACGCTGCGCCCTCAAACCGAAATTCAGATTTTCCCCTCAAAATTTTAACGTGATGCAAGAAAACAATATTTGTGTTCGTCAAAAACTGTATGATTACTCCAGAAATATGAGTATCTAGGGTTGTTCAGGTTCTTTGTGGTAACTGACAGATAATACTTAGATTTAGCACTTTTGATATGTGAAGTGAAGCTATTCCTTAGCTGCCTAAAACGCAGCCACTCTACCTCTGAGCCTGAATTCCTAGCCTTTGCCCAGGCCTTGTTTCTCTCATGAAGGAGACTGGACAGTTCAGCAGAAAACCAAGGATTGTCTCGTCCCTTCACTCTAAATGTACGCAGGGGTGCATGTCTATCTATAATTTCCATAAAACCAAGATAAAAATAAGACCATGCGGTTTCTACATCAGCACACAAATCGATTTTTCCCCAATCAAAAACAAACAGATCATGAACAACACATATACATACACATATTTGTTGTATATTCTAGTACTGCTGGTACTGGTGCCTCTGCATGAGTGACTCGTAGTATTTAAAGAGCTTTGAGGATTTGAAAAGACTCAGAGATTTAGAAGTACAGTCCATTTACAATAGAACCAATAAATACAATATTCTGAATATTCAGATCTCACCTCATCATATCCAAATATTGCAGCGTAAAACGTCTCCGTCATCGAAGTCATTCCCTCCTTCCTGTGGCTGGAATCGACCTAAAGAAACAACATGAAGAGAGAAGTGAAACTCGTTAAATACTGATTTAACACAGGAAGATTCAACTTCATGGTAAGTCAGAGGATCAATAAAAGCTTCAGGGTCTATCCTCTGGAAAGCATGAACGTCAGAAGTAAACGCTCTGCTGATACGTTAAAGTCCTCGGGTGATAATGACCCGCTCGCTGTGCTTCATCACGTATTATTTACACATTTAACGAAAGAAACCTAGTTTTCACTAAATGTTGATTATAAATCAACATTGTCCCCCGGTCTCCCAGCTATGTGCGTCACTCTTTAGTGTCCCCTGGTCTCCCAGCTGTGTGCGTCACTCTTTAGTGTCCCCCGGTCTCCCAGCTGTGAGCGTCACTCTTTAGTGTCCCCTGGTCTCCCAGCTGTGTGCGTCACTCTTTAGTGTCCCCTGGTCTCCCAGCTGTGTGCGTCACTCTTTAGTGTCCCCCGGTCTCCCAGCTGTGTGCGTCACTCTTTAGTGTCCCCCGGTCTCCCAGCTGTGTGCGTCACTCTTTAGTGTCCCCTGGTCTCCAGCTGTGTGCGTCACTCTTTAGTGTCCCCTGGTCTCCCAGCTGTGTGCGTCACTCTTTAGTGTCCCCCGGTTTCCCAGCTATGTGCGTCACTCTTTAGTGTCCCCTGGTCTCCCAGCTGTGTGCGTCACTCTTTAGTGTCCCCTGGTCTCCCAGCTGTGTGCGTCACTCTTTAGTGTCCCCCGGTCTCCCAGCTATGTGCATCACTCTTTAGTGTCCCCCGGTCTCCCAGCTATGTGCGTCACTCTTTAGTGTCCCCTGGTCTCCCAGCTGTGTGCGTCAGTCTTTAGTGTCCCCTGGTCTCCCAGCTGTGTGTGTCACTCTTTAGTGTCCCCTGGTCTCCCAGCTATGTGCGTCACTCTTTAGTGTCCCCTGGTCTCCCAGCTGTGTGCGTCAGTCTTTAGTGTCCCCTGGTCTCCCAGCTATGTGCGTCACTCTTTAGTGTCCCCTGGTCTCCCTGCTGTGTGCGTCAGTCTTTAGTGTCCCCTGGTCTCCCAGCTGTGTGCGTCACTCTTTAGTGTCCCCTGGTCTCCCAGCTGTGTGCGTCACTCTTTAGTGTCCCCTGGTCTCCAGCCGTGTGCGTCACTCTTTAGTGTCCCCTGGTCTCCCAGCTATGTGTGTCACTCTTTAGTGTCCCCTGGTCTCCCAGCTGTGTGCGTCAGTCTTTAGTGTCCCCTGGTCTCCCAGCTGTGTGCGTCACTCTTTAGTGTCCCCTGGTCTCCCAGCTATGTGAGTCACTCTTTAGTGTCCCCTGGTTTCCCAGCTGTGTGCGTCAGTCTTTAGTGTCCCCTGGTCTCCAGCCGTGTGAGTCACTCTTTAGTGTCCCCTGGTCTCCCAGCTATGTGAGTCACTCTTTAGTGTCCCCTGGTTTCCCAGCTGTGTGCGTCACTCTTTAGTGTCCCCTGGTCTCCAGCCGTGTGAGTCACTCTTTAGTGTCCCCTGGTCTCCAGCTGTGTGCGTCAGTCTTTAGTGTCCCCTGGTCTCCCAGCTATGTGCGTCACTCTTTAGTGTCCCCTGGTTTCCCAGCTGTGTGCGTCACTCTTTAGTGTCCCCTGGTCTCCAGCCGTGTGAGTCACTCTTTAGTGTCCCCTGGTCTCCAGCCGTGTGAGTCACTCTTTAGTGTCCCCTGGTCTCCCAGCTATGTGAGTCACTCTTTAGTGTCCCCTGGTTTCCCAGCTGTGTGCGTCACTCTTTAGTGTCCCCTGGTCTCCAGCCGTGTGAGTCACTCTTTAGTGTCCCCTGGTCTCCCAGCTGTGTGCGTCAGTCTTTAGTGTCCCCTGGTCTCCCAGCTATGTGCGTCACTCTTTAGTGTCCCCTGGTCTCCCAGCTGTGTGCGTCAATCTTTAGTGTCCCCTGGTCTCCCAGCTGTGTGCGTCAGTCTTTAGTGTCCCCTGGTCTCCCAGCTGTGTGCATCACTCTTTAGTGTCCCCTGGTCTCCAGCCGTGTGTCTAAATCAAATTCCCCTCGCTGTGTTTGGAGATTGACATTTTTACAAAGCAGCAGTCTGATATAGAGAAATAACACCTTGGAATAAACAACGACCAATCAGACTCAAGTGTTCAGCAAAACAAGAAGTAGACCTAAACTGATTACTTTTCAACAGCATGCTAATAGCAGTTAATGCAAATATAATATATAACATGTTTTTCCACACAACAACGCTGCACACAGAGTAAAGTGTGTGTTCCTCAGCACACACACACACTCAGCAGAGCGGTGTGTGTTTCATCAGGTCAAACAGGAATTATGAACATGGAGAAAATGAGCAATGTTTTTACTGGTGCTAACACAATTAGCATGAAACCTGAGAGCAGCTCCAATCACTGCTGTGTGTGTGTGTGTATGTGTGTGTGTGTGTATGTGTGTGTATGTGTGTGTGTGTGTGTGTGTATGTGTGTGTGTGTATGTGTGTGTGTATGTGTGTGTGTGTGTGTGTGTGTGTGTGTGAGTGTGTATGTGTGTATGTGTGTGTGTGTGTGTGTGTATGTGTGTGTATGTGTGTGTGTGTGTGTGTGTATGTGTGTGAGTGTGTGTGGTGGAAATAGTCACATGGTGTTCCTGGAATAAAGACATCAGACTGCGCTGCTATGTTTAGATATACTGACCCTATGTGTCGGTATGCTGTGCATCAGGACGTGTGTGTGTGTGTGTGTGTGTACGACATGTGTTCATGATGCAGATGCTATCATATGATCTAAGGTCAATCCTGCTAAATGACTTTATTATTACCGTGAAGCTGTAAACACACACATGTTAGAAGATGCCTTGCTGATCACCTGCTACTAGCTGAGTAATAGTGAATAACTAAAAGATACAAAATCATATTTTGCAAACAATATTTTTTTCTCAAGCTACTGACATTTAGAGGAAACAGCTGGGAGACAGCTGTGTGCCTCACTCTTTACTGTCCCCTGGTCTCCAGCTGTGTGCGTCACTCTTTAGTGTCCCCTGGTCTCCCAGCTGTGTGCGTCACTCTTTACTGTCCCCTGGTCTCCAGCTGTGTGCGTCACTCTTTAGTGTCCCCTGGTCTCCCAGCTGTGTGCGTCACTCTTTAGTGTCCCTGGTCTCCCAGCTGTGTGCGTCACTCTTTAGTGTCCCCTGGTCTCCCAGCTGTGTACGTCACTCTTTACTGTCCCCTGGTCTCCAGCTGTGTGTGTCACTCTTTAGTGTCCCCCTGGTCTCCAGCTGTGTGCGTCACTCTTTAGTGTCCCCTGGTCTCCAGCTGTGTGCGTCACTCTTTAGTGTCCCCTGGTCTCCAGCTGTGTGCGTCACTCTTTACTGTCCCCTGGTCTCCAGCTGTGTGCGTCACTCTTTAGTGTCCCCTGGTCTCCCAGCTGTGTGCGTCACTCTTTAGTGTCCCCTGGTCTCCCAGCTGTGTGCGTCACTCTTTAGTGTCCCCTGGTCTCCCAGCTGTGTACGTCACTCTTTACTGTCCCCTGGTCTCCAGCTGTGTGCGTCACTCTTTAGTGTCCCCTGGTCTCCAGCTGTGTGCGTCACTCTTTAGTGTCTCCTGGTCTCCCAGCTGTGTGCGTCACTCTTTACTTTCCCCTGGTCTCCAGCTGTGTGCGTCACTCTTTAGTGTCCCCTGGTCTCCCAGCTGTGTGCGTCACTCTTTACTGTCCCCTGGTCTCCAGCTGTGTGCGTCACTCTTTAGTGTCCCTGGTCTCCCAGCTGTGTGCGTCACTCTTTAGTGTCCCCTGGTCTCCAGCTGTGTGCGTCACTCTTTAGTGTCCCCTGGTCTCCCAGCTGTGTGCGTCACTCTTTAGTGTCCCTGGTCTCCCAGCTGTGTGCGTCACTCTTTAGTGTCCCCTGGTCTCCCAGCTGTGTACGTCACTCTTTACTGTCCCCTGGTCTCCAGCTGTGTGCGTCACTCTTTAGTGTCCCCTGGTCTCCAGCTGTGTGCGTCACTCTTTAGTGTCCCCTGGTCTCCCAGCTGTGTGCGTCACTCTTTACTGTCCCCTGGTCTCCAGCTGTGTGCGTCACTCTTTAGTGTCCCCTGGTCTCCCAGCTGTGTGCGTCACTCTTTAGTGTCCCTGGTCTCCCAGCTGTGTGCGTCACTCTTTAGTGTCCCTGGTCTCCCAGCTGTGTGCGTCACTCTTTAGTGTCCCCTGGTCTCCCAGCTGTGTACGTCACTCTTTACTGTCCCCTGGTCTCCAGCTGTGTGCGTCACTCTTTAGTGTCCCCTGGTCTCCAGCTGTGTGCGTCACTCTTTAGTGTCCCCTGGTCTCCCAGCTGTGTGCGTCACTCTTTAGTGTCCCCTGGTCTCCCAGCTGTGTACGTCACTCTTTACTGTCCCCTGGTCTCCAGCTGTGTGCGTCACTCTTTAGTGTCCCCTGGTCTCCAGCTGTGTGCGTCACTCTTTAGTGTCCCCTGGTCTCCCAGCTGTGTGCGTCACTCTTTAGTGTCCCCTGGTCTCCCAGCTGTGTACGTCACTCTTTACTGTCCCCTGGTCTCCAGCTGTGTGCGTCACTCTTTAGTGTCCCCTGGTCTCCCAGCTGTGTGCGTCACTCTTTACTGTCCCCTGGTCTCCAGCTGTGTGCGTCACTCTTTAGTGTCCCCTGGTCTCCAGCTGTGTGCGTCACTCTTTAGTGTCCCCTGGTCTCCCAGCTGTGTGCGTCACTCTTTAGTGTCCCCTGGTCTCCCAGCTGTGTACGTCACTCTTTACTGTCCCCTGGTCTCCCAGCTGTGTGCGTCACTCTTTAGTGTCCCTGGTCTCCCAGCTGTGTGCGTCACTCTTTAGTGTCCCCTGGTCTCCCAGCTGTGTACGTCACTCTTTACTGTCCCCTGGTCTCCAGCTGTGTGCGTCACTCTTTAGTGTCTCCTTGTCTCCAGCTGTGTGCGTCACTCTTTAGCGTCCCCTGGTCTCCAGTTGTGTGCGTCACTCTTTAGTGTCCCCTGGTCTCCAGCTGTGTGCGTCACTCTTTACTGTCCCCTGGTCTCCAGCTGTGTGCGTCACTCTTTAGTGTCCCCTGGTCTCCAGCTGTGTGCGTCACTCTTTAGTGTCCCCTGGTCTCCAGCTGTGTGCGTCACTCTTTAGTGTCCCCTGGTCTCCAGCTGTGTGCGTCACTCTTTACTGTCCCTTGGTCTCCAGCTGTGTGCGTCACTCTTTAGTGTCCCCTGGTCTCCAGCTGTGTACGTCACTCTTTAGTGTCCCCTGGTCTCCAGCTGTGTGCGTCACTCTTTAGTGTCCCCTGGTCTCCCAGCTGTGTACGTCACTCTTTAGTGTCCCCTGGTCTCCCAGCTGTGTGTGTCACTCTTTAGTGTCCCCTGGTCTCCACTGTGTTTTGAACTTCTTCAGCGTTTTGTTCCTGCAGCTTTTAGTAAACGCTGCCATGTCTCCTCAAGTGGCTGAAGATGTTTCTTCATGTGGAACCTTTCGGTTTCTGTATCTGCATCCTTTCTGAAGCTGCAGCGCGTTCACTTTCTCTCACACACAGATCTTACCCCCATGATTTTGCTCCTCTGCTCCACGTCCTCCCACATGGAGTGAACCAGCCAGCGACACATGTACTTCCCCTCTCTGCCCTCCTGACGCATCCGCACCATGCACATCCTGCAGAGGACACCAGGACATTACAGAAGGAAACAATAGCCAACATGACTGTGTGTGTGTGTGTGTGTGTGTGTGTGTGTGTGTGTGTGTGTGTGTGTGTGTGTCTAACTCACCATATATGTAGCTGTGCAACTAAGAACCAGGAGTTCATTGTGTCAGGCAGGGAGCACTCTGAAACACACACACAGCGTTAAAACACTCACGTGGATGCGTTGTGTACGTTTGTAGGATTTAAAGATCTGAAAGTCTTAACGTTTATTTGTGCCGAGACGTTTCAATACTCACTGTCAAAGAACTCGTCGTAGTTGACTCTCTCTACGCAGCACGTGTACATGCGCAACGCAGCAATCTTGATTTTCTGTCAAGACAAAAGAGGCAGATAATATCAGTAGCATCCTTTACATCGGGTCCGAGTTACACACACACACACACACACACACACACACACACACACACACACACACACACACACACACACACACACACACACACACACACACACACACACACACACACACACACACACACACACACACACACACACACACACACACACACACACACACACACACACACACCACACACACACACACACACACACACACACACCACACACACACACACACACACACACACACACACACACACACACACACACACACACACACACACACACACACACACACACACACAATAATGTTTTAAAATGTTCTCCGACACCATTTGTTCCCACAATCACCTCTTCCTAATGTCTACACCTTCTCATCTTTCCTCCCCCCTTCCCCTCCATGTTTCCTCCCCTCTTCCCCTCCATGTTTCCTCCCCCCTTCCCCTCCCCTGTTCCTCCCCCTCCATGTTTCCTCCCCCCTTCCCCTCCATGTTTCCTCCCCCCTTCCCCTCCATGTTTCCTCACCCCTTCCCCTCCATGTTTCCCTCACCCATTCCCCTCCATGTTTCCTCCCCCTCCATGTTTCCTTCCCTCCATGTTTCCTCCTCCCTTCCCCTCCATGTTTCCTCACCCCTTCCCCTCCATGTTTCCTCACCCATTTGTTGTACTTGAGGGGTCCGGTGAAGCCCATGACCTCGATGAGTTTGGTGAACGCTCCCACTTCCTCCTCTGTGTGCTGCGGCTTCTCGTTCACATTGAAGAGCTGCAGACGCACGGAGGAGGATGAAGAACAGGGAATAGAAAGGGCCGGTACGTTTATAGAGCACATGTTCAGAGGCAGAGTGTTTAACATCAACAAGACGACAACAGAAAGGAACACAGTGGAAGAAGAGATAGTTTAAAAACATTGTAAGTACAGTAGGTGCTCAAACAAGTTAAAAGACTTCTGAGTAAGCAGCTGTTTTTAGCCTAGACTTAAAATCACTCAATAACAAAAGGTGGAAAGTGGAAGAAGACAGCGAGGAAAGGGAAGATTAGAATAATGATAAAGCACTTTGCATACAGCAGCTCAGAGTGCTTTAACAACACGGCACACAAACTGATTCCCTTCAGATCTAAGACCTCTATGGAGACATGCAGCAACATCATCGGACAGCTACGAGGGGGCAAGAGGAGTGAGTCGATTCAACGAAATATAAAAACCTAAAAGGAGGAGAAGCAGCCATCTTGTGTCATCTCTGACCCTCATGCCACATCCGGTCTGAAACCACCAGACTCAGAGACAGTGTCATCCCACAGGCCATAGAGCGGAGCAGGGAGGACGTGTTCACCCTGCAGGAAGCTGCCGGTTCCCTCGACTGAAAGCAACGGGATTTCTCCACAGGATTTTGGAATATTGTAAAAAATAAGGTCTGTGGAAAACGAACCTGTTTGATAAATGCACGTTTTGTTCAGCCGGATAATCTCCACATGTGTACCTAGGGCTGTGCAATTATGGCAAAAATCATAATCACGATTATTTGGGTCAATAATTGATATCACGATTATTTTGACGATTATTCATTGACCATTTATTGAACTTTAAAACAAATAATATTTTACCAATAAACAAGATCAACAAATATGTTGGAGCACACTTCCAAAACCATACTAAACATATATTATTAATATGATAAATAAAATAAATTAGACCAAAATAAATGAAATCCAACATGTTGCAGTGCACTGTCACAACCTACTGAACACTCCTTAACATATAGCCAACATGTTGGTAAAACATATTCAACATATTCCACTCAGTTAAACGTTGAAGGCTGGCCAACCGTCATGGTCCAGAAGTAACAGGAAATAAATGTTGAACTACAATTTAAGACCAAATAAAAATGTGTTGGCCACCATGGCAAATGCTGGTAGGGCTGCTCGTGTCATCTCTTAAAGATGTTTTGCAAGAAACACCAGCCTGTTGACATGGTCTGGTTTCAGAGATGAGCGCAGGCAGGTGACAATATTGCCACCTGTACTGAAGACCCTCAGCCACGCCCCGACACATGGGGTGACGCCGGCCAATCACAAAGCTTTGATGCGTTCAAGTGCATTATTCTGGCACAGGAAGATTATGTTACAGGACATTAACGATAAAACAGAATATTGTTGTTCTATTTTTAGACACATCTCGCGATCGACTGGTTGGGCACCCCTGGGCTAGACCATAGGTCTGTTGTGGTAGCAAAGTAGTCAGCTGAAGCCACATCTCTCTCAACTTCCCCACGGCATTTGTCACATAGCGCAGGCAGCGCAGACCTGCTGAAATAATACCGAGACGGCATCGCGTAACGCTTGTCCAACGTGTTCACAAGTTGCTTAAAGCCCTGGTTGCTAACAGTGCTAACTGGGCACATATCTTTAGCGATGTGAAATGTAAAGGCAAAGTACTTGCAAATAGTGGAAATAGTTTGACCCTTCTTTTTAACGAGTTGCTGCTCTTGTTCTGACATCTTCGCTCGCGCTGAACACTCACAACACATGTCACTCCCACGTGGCCGAGTGGGCTTTTAGGGAGGGGCGAAAGCGCACCCAGCAAAATAATCGTATTTTGTCAATTATGCTGTTTTCATAATCGTCGCAAGCTATAATCGTAATCGCGATTAAAATACGATTAATTGCACAGCCCTATGTGTACCCTACTTTTTCAAATCATAAATCTAATGGCCAGAAGCTAAATGCTAACGTGATGCTATAAAGGAGCTACAGCGAGTCCAGCAGCACGACTTCAACGTCACGCCGACTTCAGATCCAGATTCAAACACACAGACTCTAGATGGAACGAGTTGAAGCGTTTGTTTGAACAGTCTGCAGGAGGCAGGGACTTGCTTTCAAGCAGAACAGAAACTAACTTAGAGGAGTGTTCACGTGTTCGGCGTAATGACGTACAACGACCTCCACGACTTCTGTAGTCCTATTCAGCCACTTGGTAACAACCATCGTTTCTCAGACACGTCAACAACAAAACGTGATCCGTCTCTTCAATGTGTCTCAACCTCAGACCTTAGTTCAGATAGTTTCCTAAACCCTATGGAGAGATCCCATTGGCTCTGAGACCAGGGAACAGGAAGTGGATTCTGACTCACTTCCTGGTTTTAGGAGTCGTTCCTGCACCGCGCTATGAGACTGTTAAACACCTGAACTCTGTGAAGAACATCCATCTGTTTGTCATCTCGCAATTTACTTTTTATCTAAATAGTTATCACTTTCACCCTTTCTTTATAACTGATGCTGTATTTTGATTTTAAAAAGGTGTCTATTATCAGCTGGAAATTAGCATGTTGGCTAAAGCTAATGCTCCATTTACTGTGTTTAGTGACAGCCAGTGTTTCCGCCAGACCAGGGCTGAGAGAGCGAGGGGGGGGGGTTTGATTTTTGACTTGAGCCGTCCCTTATAGATACTGTATGTTTACGCCAGTGAGCCGGCTCTCTTAAAGCGCCGGCTCTCTTAAAGCGCCGGCTCTCTTAAAGCGCCGGCTCTCTTAAAGCGCCGGCTCTCTTAAAGCGCCGGCTCTCTTAAAGCACCGGCTCTCTTAAAGCGCCGGCTCTCTTAAAGCGCCGGCTCTCTTAAAGCGCCGGCTCTCTTAAAGCGCCGGCTCTCTTAAAGCGCCGGCTCTCTTAAAGCGCCGGCTCTCTTAAAGAGCCGGCTCTCTTAAAGCGCCGGCTCTCTTAAAGCGCCGGCTCTCTTAAAGAGCCGGCTCTCTTAAAGCGCCGGCTCTCTTAAAGCGCCGGCTCCCAAACGGCTCTTCATGTTACCAGTTTACCACGGAGCCTCAGTTTTGCCGCTGCGAGGCTCTGGCGCTCGCCGCTCACGCGCGTGCTCCACTAAAACCCCCAGCGCTCATCGCGTCCAAATCACGCACGTTCCGTGTCGTCCTGTAGCAGGCACCTTCGATGTCGGGGAAACGATCTTCAATACTCCGAAAACAATCCCACCAGACTCCGTTGCCCCTCCAACAGCGGGATGTCCTTTTTGCTTTTCGTAATTTCAAGCGATAAAAACTCTAGATCTTCTCTCGAATTATTAATATTTTGGGACGCCCTCGGCCCGAGTTCAGGGCGTCCCGAGCTGAATAAGGGCGTCAAATGACGGCAAGACGGCCCTCTGGCGGAAACGCTGGTGACAGCTGATCAATGGGGACTGTCCACGACGCCATCAACAAATAGACTAAACTAAATATCACCACCTTCAAAACAACCTGGGTGACGGAGAAAGCTTTTCAAGAAACGACACGGGTCCAGGTTATGATGCCGATACCGTTGTACATTATATTTACTCGCACCATTGTCTCCCTAAGTTCATTTCTAGGGATGAACAAATGTCAGATTTCTCAATGTTTTTGTTGCTGTGTGTGTGTGTGTGTGTGTGTGTGTGTGTGTGTGTGTGTGTGTGTGTGTGTTATCTCTGTGTGTGTGTGTTATCTCTGTGTGTGTGTGTGTGTGTTATCTCTGTGTGTGTGTGTGTGTTATCTCTGTGTGTGTGTTATCTCTGTGTGTGTGTGTGTGTTATCTCTGTGTGTGTGTGCGTGTTATCTCTGTGTGTGTGTGTTATCTCTGTGTGTGTGTTATCTCTGTGTGTGTGTGTGTGTTATCTCTGTGTGTGTGTGTGTTATCTCTGTGTGTGTGTGTGTGTTATCTCTGTGTGTGTGTGTTATCTCTGTGTGTGTGTGCGTGTTATCTCTGTGTGTGTGTGTTATCTCTGTGTGTGTGTGTTATCTCTGTGTGTGTGTGTGTGTTATCTCTGTGTGTGTGTGTGTTATCTCTGTGTGTGTGTGTTATCTCTGTGTGTGTGTGTGTTTATCTCTGTGTGTGTGTGTGTGTTATCTCTGTGTGTGTGTGTGTTATCTCTGTGTGTGTGTTATCTCTGTGTGTGTGTGTGTTATCTCTGTGTGTGTGTGTGTTATCTCTGTGTGTGTGTGTGTTATCTCTGTGTGTGTGTGTGTGTTACCTCTGTGTGTGTGTGTGTGTGACTGTGTGTGTTACCTCTGTGTGTGTGTGTGTGTGTATGTGTGTGTGTTACCTCTGTGTGTGTGTGTGTGTGTGTGTGTGTGTGTGTGTATTTCTCGATGTTTTTCCTGTTTCCTTGTTATTTTTTCCGCTTTTTCATCAAACCAAATTATGAGATTTGGTCAAAATATAAGTAAATATTGTGCTTTTGAAAAGTAAAGCCTTTGAATGTCTGAAAGTATTGAATCGATCAACCTATATAGTTAACAGGACACACACACACACACACACACACACACACACACCACACACACACACACACACACACACACACACACACACACACACACCCACACACACACACACACACACACACACACACACACACACACACACACACACACACACACACACACACACACACCACACACACACACACACACACACACACACACACACACACACAGCTGTGTTGGCAGCTCTTCCTGACCCGTTAACCTTCATCAGGAATATCAGATCACACTGAAACATCACGGATGACATCTGTCCCGTCAGATCACCATGTCGGCCGTAACTAGCAGCGGCCCATTGAAGCTGTGCTCGGGGTCAGACATCACACGTTAGAGGGTTTTATCCAAACCACCACTGCGTTGGGGGCAAGGGATTTCTAGAGATGTTATCAAGATAAAGGATCTCAACACGCTTTCATAAACAAATAACTGTTATATATTATTTTTAAATTATTTCTTTTTTATTTATTTATTTGTTTTTCTTTGTCTATAATTCCCTCAGTTCGTTATTATGTAATTGTTTGCATGTTGTTTTTGTTGTTAAATACATTTTTCAATAACGTTGTGACTTCAACAACACCTTAAATAAATATTTGTGTGTGTGCTACCGGTCGGGTGCTGTGTGTGTGTGTGTGTGTGCTACCGGTCGGGTGCTGTGTGTGCTACCGGTCGGGTGCTGTGTGTGTGTGCTACCGGTCGGGTGCTGTGTGTGTGTGTGTGTGTGCTACCGGTCGGGTGCTGTGTGTGTGTGTGTGCTACCGGTCGGGTGCTGTGTGTGTGTGTATATCTGTGTGTGTGTGTGTGTTACTTGTGGGGTGCTCTGTGTGTGTGTGTGTGTGTGTGTGTGTGTTACCTGTGGGGTGCTCTGTGTGTGCGTGTGTGTGTGTTACCTGTGGGGTGCTCTGTGTGTGCGTGTGTGTGTGTTACCTGTGGGGTGCTCTGTGTGTGTGTGTGTGTGTGTGTGTGTGTGTGTGTGTGTGTGTGTGTGTTACCTGTGGGGTGCTGTGCAGGGTGCGACATGATGTTAAACAGGGAGAGGACACTCTCCAGGAGGCTAGAGCTCGGACTGAACAGAATTCCTGAAAACAAAAAACAAGAGAGAAGAAGAACACACGGTGAGAGAACTACAAAAACAACAGCATGCATTAACCCTAAACTCTGGCAGTTGATGTGTATTTAAAAACACATCCTTCAGGGGGAGAAGTACTCAGATCTTGTTCTTGAGTAAAAGTAGAAGTACTCAGATCTTGTTCTTGAGTAAAAGTAGAAGTACTCAGATATTGTACTTGAGTAAAAGTAGAAGTACTCAGGTCTTGTTCTTAAGTAAAAGTAGAAGTACTCAGGTCTTGTACTTGAGTAAAAGTAGAAGTACTCAGGTCTTGTTCTTAAGTAAAAGTAGAAGTACTCAGGTCTTGTACTTGAGTAAAAGTAGAAGTACTCAGGTCTTGTTCTTAAGTAAAAGTAGAAGTACTCAGGTCTTGTTCTTAAGTAAAAGTAGAAGTACTCAGATATTGTACTTGAGTAAAAGTAGAAGTACTCAGATATTGTACTTGAGTAAAAGTAGAAGTACTCAGATCTTGTACTTCAGTAAAAGTAGAAGTACTCAGATCTTGTTCTTGAGTAAAAGTAGAAGTACTCAGATATTGTACTTGAGTAAAAGTAGAAGTACTCAGATCTTGTACTTCAGTAAAAGTAGAAGTACTCAGATCTTGTTCTTGAGTAAAAGTAGAAGTACTCAGATCTTGTACTTGAGTAAAAGTAGAAGTACTCAGGTCTTGTACTTGAGTAAAAGTAGAAGTACTCAGATCTTGTTCTTAAGTAAAAGTAGAAGTACTCAGATCTTGTACTTGAGTAAAAGTAGAAGTACCAGAGTGTAGGAATACTCTGTTACAGTAAAAGTCCTGCATTCAAAATGTTCCTCAAGTGAAAGTAGAAAAGTATTCTCATCAAAATATAGTGAAAGACAGTAAAAGTAGTCGTTGTGCAGATTGGTCCATTTCAGAATAATATATATGATATGTTTTATAATGATTGATCATGAAAGTGTTCTCAAAGCTGGTGAAGGTGCAGCTAGTTTGAATGACTTTGTATACTGCAGGGTAGCTGGTGGATTTACTCCAGGTGGAACTAAAGTCTGATTCAACACTTGATTATATTTACCATCATTCATCCACATCTGTGAAGTAACTAAAGGGATTAAATACATGTCGTGGAGGAAAAGTACACAGTAGCATGAAATGGATAGTAAAGTACAAGTACCTCAACATTGTACTTGAGTACAGTACTACATTGTACTTAGTGACTTCCCTGTAAATCATGTTTAGAGGAGTGATACTTGTCACCAAATCCCGTTAGCATGCTAAGCTAACGTTATCTCGTTACCTGTCCGTAGGCTCTGTTCCCGTTAATAAAGAGGGTTCTGAGGGCGGTGAGCAGCGGCCTCCGGTACATGGCTCCTCTCTCTGCGGGGAATCAGAGATGAAAAGCGGATGCAGCTCCTGGGGAAGAAGCTTCGGGTTTAATAACAACCTCTTCTCGGTAGCAGCAATGTCAACTGAAGCTGTCCTGCGCCCAATACTGTCCGGGGGAGCGGGAGATAAGGCTCAGCGAAGAAAGGTTCCGCTTTGACACAGACTGGGTTTTATATACTATGTCTATGGTTTTAATTAAGTACTTTTAAGATAAGATATACTTTTTGCACTACGTAATCAGATCTTGTTCTTGAGTAAAAGTAGACGTACTCAGATCTTGTAATTAAGTAAAAGTAGCAATACTAATGTGTAAAAGTAAAGCAAAAGGCATGCATTTAAACTTGTACTTTGTAAACTAAAAGTAACTAAATATGTTATGTAAATATATTAGAGTAAAGTACAGAGTAGCATAATGTGAAAATAGTCAAGTAAAGACATCTACATGTGTCCCTTCAGTATGTACTATGATAAAGAAATGGGACCTTGTGGCAAAGTGTCTAGATTGTTAATAGGTACAAGTTAAGCTTGGCGAACAAAAATACAAATAGTAAAATGTTGATATTCCAGAGTTCATGTTCTGATTTACTCTAATCCACTTAGTTTCCATCCTTTTCAAATTATGTCAACATTAATGTTCCTGGCATGACGACCCAGTGCAGACTTTAATGAAGCTTCCTTATTATGTTCTGTTTCTCCAACAAATCACTCTGGATGAATAGAGGAAGCACGATGAAAAGAAGGTGTATTAGTGTGAGACTGAGAAGAGAACATCTGCACCAGAGAAAAACCAAATGACACGGAGTGAGACGGGAAACCGAAAAAGGTCAAGTGGAGGTTTTCTGGACCGGTTTTCAGTTTGTGAGGAAATGAAATCAGCGGCTGCAGATTGATGCTGAACGTGAAAACTTACAATAATATTCAGAGGTGAGTTATGAGACGCGAACAGCCGGGGGTAATGTCAGGTCTAGCCACTGCTATTTCCTCTGTGCAGTGACCTCACCTGACACACACACACACACACACACACACACACACACACACACACACACACACACACACACACACACACACACACACACACACACACACACACACACACACACACACACACACACACAGTCACTCTGTTTCCCATCTTTGACCTTGAACTTGCATTGAATAACCCTCCCGGGAAGCTACCAGAAGTCCCAGCAGTCTGCCTTCGCTCCAGACGTACAGTAAAATGTGTCAACTATTACATTTAATCTGTTTCACAGTTTAGTTTATGTACTGCCATGCAAAAATAAAGCAAATATGGTGGACCCCCTAATAGGCATTAAAATAGCCAAATATTGGAAGTTACCAGATGTTTTTCTACACACCATTAAAGGCACTTTAAAAAAAACTGTAGGTATACAGTGGTCATGTCATATTTCTTTGTTGGACCCTGAAGGCAGCATCTCCCTGGTCCAATGGGATTTCTCCATGGGATTTTGGATTATTGCAGAAATAATCTCTGTGTCAAACAAACATTTATAATATTTACACGTTGAGTTCAGCAGGAAAATCTCCCCATATTAACATCACTTTCTGATTTCTGAAGTAAAAAGCTAACGTTAGGCTATAAAGGAACAACAGCACGGTCACATGACTTCACGTCACCACCGCTAAACTAAAGGAGGCTAATGTTGGGCTATGTTAACTGTGATGGTTATTCTCGCGTCCAGGAAAGAGAAGCTTAAAAAGGAGACTAAATGGAGTCTCTGAGATGTTTTCAAATTGGTACTTTAATTAATAAAAGGCGCGGTACAGTCACAAACAGGATATTGTCCGACAGAAAAGCAGCTGTCTCTGGCCCTCGCTAGCAGAGAAAAGAGGCCGAACCGCTCAGGTGCTGCTCTTATATAGCTTCTGTAGGCTCCTCCCTGCGGGTCGGCCCTCCACATCTTAATGTCCGTTGTTACGTTAAACAGAGGATTCAGGCTTTGTACATTCAATATATACTTAAACACGACTCTTCTCCTCATATTGTCTTTCATCACTTTTCCTTTAACACATTCTAAACGTTGTAGTTAATATTCTAGAAAATACTTCACGGCTGGTTTGGTTTCTGGTCATTCCGGATGTTGTCACATCTTACCCACGTCTGTAAACAATAACTTTATTCAAAGAAACTATACCTTCATTTAATATTCAGCAATAATAATACTTCTATAGTTGCAGTGTTAAAATCAGTAGGTTTCGGTGTGCATCACTCCATGTCATTTCGCTACTAAATTAACCTCTATAAGAAATGGTAAACTAGCCACATGCTAACCGGAGATGACGGATTTTCAGAATAAAAGCTTAACTGGTTGTGCACAATAATTTTCTGGTTTTTCAGTATAAAACAGCATTTAAACTGAAGGTACATTTAAGGTACTTTATGCCATCAAAACATTGATTTTAATTTCTAACAGTCCCTCCTTACACACCTAAAAGGTGTGTATAATACTGAAATCAATGAGTTCTTCATCTGAACTCTGCATAGTACATAATTCATATCAAAAACATACAATCAAAATGGAATAGTGCAAATATCCTCAACTTTACAAAAATACAAAAATACTTTGACTGTGTTCAAACATAAAAGTTTTCCCTTGTGCATAACTTCTAGTGTTAACATTCAATATGGCTCTTCAAAATAGCAGCAATGGCTTGGTATCAGAACATTTCTTCCTCCCTCCTTTCACAGAAACCGTTCTTATACCACGCTCAGTGTTAAGGCACTTGTTTTTACAAAGTGAAAATAAACTATTCATTTTAGAATTGTAATGATTCGAAAATACATGAAATCTACCATATAGAACAGTGACAAATAATAAAAATGAAATAAACTATCTTGTACCAGTGTAATGTAATAATAAAACAAAAAATACACTATCTTGGAATAGTATAGAGTAATTAAAAATAAAAATACACTATCTTGGAATAGTATAGAGTTCAGTGAAATGGATTCACTCCATTTTAGCATTTTATTTTGCTCACTTCTTCAGATGATTTCATCATTTAAAGAGTCACATCGGCTGGACATTCATTGAACAATCTCATCTCTGAACATCCACATCATTTAACATCATTCAAACTAACTCGTCATTTTCATCTACATCTGTATACGGGGGTGGATCGTCCTGTTCTGCTAGCATTGGAAACTGTCCCCCCATGTGATATTGACCCCTAGCATATTCCTGGTTGAGGGCCCCATTAATCAGTCGGTTTGCAAAAGCGCGGATGCAGGTCGAGAAACAACAACAGCACAGTGCCAATATCACGATCACACCTGACACAGACATCAGTCCACTCACTAGGAAATCCTTGTACTTCCCCAGCCAACCATCTAAGAAACCCCCCAGGGGGTTCATCTCTATCCCGCTGTTGTCTGCTAACTCCATGCTTAGAGTAGTGAGTCCCTTCAGAGCCTTGGTTACTGATCCATCAGGTGAGGTGTTGTTTGGGATGAAAGTACAACATAATGTTCCAAACATTTTGCATACACCCCCTTTTTCTGCCAGCAACATATCTAGGGCCACTCTGTTCTGCAAAGACATCTGGCTGGTCTTGTCCAGTTGCTCGCTTAGTCCCTTCATTGCGTCCTTGGAGTGATTTATGAACCTCTGCTGATTGTAGTAGATATAGTTAATCCAGTCCACATTCTTATTTATTGTAGGCCAAAGGAAAATGGATTCCAATCCTGCTAAGATCTGGTTTCTAGCTTTAAACTCGTCTGGAACTCCCCTGGGCACCCCTATGCTGTCTATGTACACAGTGGAATCAAAACTCCCTGGAAAGACTGACCTTTTGGCTCTAGTTGCTTTGGGTTGGACTGCCATGTTTATCAGTTGCTCGGCCGTCATCGGTACTGCATAAAAAGGCATCACTAGCTGTACCAGTGCACAGGTCCCTGTCCAATCCTGTGGTAAAACTGAATACAGGGTTTTAGTGCCACAATACCACCACACATCTGTTCTGGGATACTGTCTAATGGGCATAGTTATACCTGGGAGAAAATCCTGGTTACTTAAAATCGTTGTAGAATTGCACCACTTAAGAGTTCCTACTTCTGTACCTTTTAGGTAGTCCCTTGTGATGCAGTCATACAGTCCCTCGTAAGACGTGAAGTCAGGTGGAATGTCATTTATTTTTACCACTGGATACTTTTGTGCAATGTCGACACAATCTGCTGGGGATTTTTGTCCATAGAGTTTGTACATACAGAGTTGTCCTCTTGGGTTGTTGTGGGCGTTAAATGGAAATGGCACTGTTCCCAAACTTGGTCGGGCAGCCGCACAGGCCAGACAGTCCGCCATCTTGCTCTGCTTAACAGAATAAACAACCCAGTCTAACCAAGAATTTGTGTCCTCGTATCCTGTTTCCACTGCTATGACTTTCTGTATAGAGGTCGTACTCAGATAGGTGACCAGTGGATTGTTCACAGATTTAGCAGGGGGGATTTCTGGTTCTGGTTTAAAGGGTGATTCAGTATATTTTGGGGCGAGATCAGGGATTACATCTGCTGGTGGGTCAATTATCTTCACTAAAATTGATCCCATTGGGTCTTTTCCAGGAACTTCTATCCCCATCAGTAAATGGAATGCAGTGACGTCTCCCTGTTTCTTGAAATGGGGAGTGAGTGCGCTTTTAAAAGCAATTATTATTGGATTGTGTTTGCTCATATCTCCACTATGGCGACCTTTGGAAAAAGATAGCTGAGACCTAAACGCCAAACCAGGGGGATTGTTATTACCTTCTGCCCTTGCACTCCAGTATACCTTCTCTGAACCGGGACACCATGAATTATCATCTGGCCGTCCCCAAGCATGAATGCACCCATAAACGTCATGGCCTGTTTTATCTCGCAGCTCTCCACATACAACCACATCACACACATCAAGACTGACCGTAACCGCTTCACCTCTGGGGATGAGTATTTCCAACCCCTCCTTCAGTCTCTCAGCTGATCTTTTGCCTCTGGGGGTAAATGGAAATGTCCTAAACACAGCTGAAGTTTTGTTAGTGATATTGGCATTTTCTACGAGGGCTCGAATGGATTCGGGTTCTTCACGATGCTGTACCCCCCACCCAACCAGGAAAATGCCAA